TTAATTCATTAATTTTTTTTTAATTCATCTTATTATGCGTATAGTCTAAGTTTATAAATTATATGTCATTTAAATGTATCTATACTACTAATTTATAAGGTTTTACCATTTGGGGAGCTAAATTTTAATTTTAATTATGAAACTAATCTTTCTTATCATTTTGTAGTTATATGTTTGATTGAGTATGGCTGAAAATTAAATTACAAAAAAAATAATAATAATAATAATTTCATTTTTTATATTGTAATGTAACATGATATGTATTATAATGTTTGTAATTAATACATTTATTAATATTTCTTATAACTTTAATTGCTTAATAATGAAATAAAAAATAATAATATATAGTTTCTGCACAACAATAATGACTGTCACGTTTATATATATAAATGAGAATAAGAAACATAAATGTGATATTAATTAAAAGGAACTTTTTTAATTTAGTCATTAACTAATTATGTTTAACTAAAAGAAACCTTCTTAAATGTGAGATTAATGAATAATTAATTAAAAAAATGTAACTTCTTTTGGAGGGAAAATGAAAATGTTTTTATTAAATGTTTTATTAAATGGGGTTAGCTAGCAATTATATATATATAGATTGACATTTAAATGTATTTACAAATATGTGCTTGTGTTTAAATAGATAGATGTTTAATAGAATGATGATGTTGATATAATGTAAATAAAAAAAAATATAAATTACGGATAAGGATGTGAATGATCTTATGCAACATGAATCATGTTATCATTGATATTCTCAAATAAAGTAGATCCACATTTTATAATTTTAAGAAACACTAAATAAGGCCCACTAAAAGTTAAAAAAATAAGACCAATTTATCAATGTTCTAAAAAACGGACCGGTCATCAAACCAGTAAAGCTACTGGTTCAATAGTTCATTGGTCCGACTAATGGTTGAATCGATATTTAATTTACTAATACTGTATTTTTAAACATATATATTATTTTATATAATAAAATTTATATATATAATTTTGTTAAATTAAATATTGCGCTCATTTAAAATATTCAAATATTTAAACTAACTCATAATAACTTATATATATTTATCATATTTAAATATGTATTTTTAATTTATACTAAAAATATTTTTAGATATATTAAATTTCATTTGAAAAAAAAAACTGGACCAGTTCAAACCGGTCAGACCGGACCTATTTTTGGCCGGTTCTGACCGGTTTTGATCGGTTCAACCAATTGTTGACCTATTTTTGACCGGTTCGCTGGAAACCGATCGTCGATGCTCAGACATTTTTTCCATTGGTATGGATTCCTTTGGTATCGTGTATGGCAAAATGAAATAATTAATGAAATTCATGCTACGGAAGGGACAAAACAATGTGTAAAAGCAGTTGTACAACCGTAGAAGAATAAAATGAAGACAACCAACCAAAGAAAAGAAAATGTGTAAATCCCACAAAAGATTGAACTTCCATGAGACATGTCAGCTAAGTGGTGAGACACCAATCTGTGGTGATCCATCCAACCTTATCATCAAAATAATGGAGGACACAACATGTGGGTGGTGGTTCATGTTTATTTTGTTTGTTTACAATCAATGCTTTTATGAGAAAGCAAAGAAGTTATTATCTAGATTGATTCAAGCGTTTTAGTTTGTCTATTTAAGGGTGTCAGTCTTAGTTTGTAAGGCTTCCCGAATTTTAGAATTGATTACCCTATATCAAAACTATTATAAATAAAAATCTTCTTTCCTCAAAAAGTCTAAAACATCTTCACATAGCTGCTAGGTTTCATAAGGTTTGTAAAGGCTTCATAAAAACCAAGAAACAATAAGCTATAAAAGTCTTAAAGCCAAAAGGCTAAAGCCAGCTTTTTGGAGTTCCTGAAAACACACAAGTATCTTCCAAGTAAGTCCGTTATACAAGGGAATTAAGACAATTAAAATATTTGAAATTACTAATCAAACTGGAAGTCATGTCTGGTATACAAGGGAATTAAGACAATTGGAACAATGTTTGAAATTAATAATCAAACTGAAAGAAAGTTCATGGTGAACTAAAAACAACTACTCCCTCTGTTTTATATTATTTGTCGTTTCAGCTTAAAAAAACACAATTACGCATTTGAAGGAATAGTTATCTTATCCTGTAGTATTAGATTTGTCTAAATCTTATTTAAATACTTTTTTAACTTTCTCTCTCCTTACTAGATATGTTATGTAGCATTCAAAAAAACAACCATGAACTGAACTTACATAATTTTAGGATTTAAAATATTTATCAAATTAATTAATTAATGGTTATCCAAAACGATAATTAATAAAAAAATGTACTAGGGAGTAATATTTTTTTTTCCAATTAACTTCTAGAAAAAATTTCCCCTAATATAGAGAGATCGTGCATAGCCTATTTCCGTTTTCTGCCTCTTTCTCTCTCACGCTTTTTCCAGAGCACAGACACAGAACGAAAGGAAATGCGCAGAAAAATACACACACCGAAGAAAAAAGAGGAAAACCAAAAAATCTTCTCTCACACACCCACACTCGTCATCGTCAACCCCTGCTGCTATTGAAGAAAGCCATTGACTCCATATAGCTCGTCTGGTTAATTATTGTAAGTCGAGTAATTTGCTCGGCATTTTGTAGTCTGAAGCAAAAGTGATGTAGGGAAAGCGTACGAATGGGAAAGATAAACAAACGAGATACTCTCTCGATAAAACTTACAATCTTATTTTTCATTCAATAATCAACTGATCGTCACACTGCATAAGAACTCTTTAAATAAACCCCTCCAACTAAACCTAACTTATTCTCTAAGCTACTACTAATAATAATAATAATAATAATAATAATAATAATATTTATATTTATTCTGCATCATTCTCCCCCGGTTGAGCAGGATTCGCCCTCGAATCCGACACGTTCCCGTTGGAGACGTCCCCATGACAAGAAGAGCCCGGACGTTTCCCCCGATCGAACACGAAGGTGGAAAGTATCCCAACAACCTCAAATTTAAACATAATCTCGGTCAAGGACTCAACTGCTGCAAAGTCACATGTACACGCCACCATATGCAAAGCCCACACAACCGAATTAACACAAAACACACCACATCGTTCGCCGCGCTCAAATCCATAACAACGACCAAACATCCCGTTGTTGGGAGACTTCACGAACAACAATCGAAAAATGGCCCACCAGTTATAGAGTCTCATCTCCGGCTCCCAAAAATCATCTTTGGCCAAAATACTCAAAAAATCGGGTGTGAATGACGACTTCCCATTCGAAGGTTCAACCTCGGCAACATTCCATGCGGGACCCATATGGCGACAAAAATATGTATTCGTCACCTGATGCTCCTCATCAAAAATGGGCGAACCGTCGTAGATATCGCACGTGTCAGGCTCGAAATCCAAGGAATCTTTAAATGCGAAGTCAAAGCCTTTTTGTGGCTTTGCAGACCCAAAATAAGGATTAAATCCATCTTTTCCCTGAGCCCAATAAATTAAATTGGGTTGTCCCTGCGCAGGCCCAGAATTGTGAAAGAAAGTCGTGCATCCCTGCTCAACATCGACATCGCGATACCCTCCACCTCTCCAATCCCGTCGCCGCAGCTCTGCCAATCCGGCGTCGGTCCCTCGCCGGTCGCGCCCAGGGCCATCGGGCCTTCCCTCAGCGGCGCGTCGGCCGTCAAATGCCCAGGCCGCTGCACGACCTCCTTCTGGCCTCCACTTTTTGAGTTGCCGGAATTGCCTAGGGTTTGTTCGTTCGGCCAGGCGGCGCGACCATCGGAATCGCCGGCGTCCTCTGCGATGCGGCGCCAATCGCGACCCCAGCCCGCCTCAACACGCCGGAAATTTCTCCCCTTGTCCGCGAAAAGATGCAACTCGTCAACAGCAAGCACCTCCACTCGCCGTCGGTATGCGCCGCCGTTGCCGGCAACCTCCAATCGCCGTTGATATGTGCCGCCATCGCCGGCCGCGCCTCGCAACGACCGTCCCAGCGTCGTCGCGGCAGATCGAACCCAGCGCAAGATGCACCCTCGCGATCGGGCTCTATTCTGCGAAAATCATGATGTTGGTTGAAGCTTTTAGTTCGACGGAAATCACCGCCTAGGGCTGTGCAATTGGGCGAGATTTGGTAATCAAAACCCTCCTCCGGCTACCGCTGGCTGCAAAATCGGAAATCGGCCAAGGTTTCCTCGTCGCGCCTCCCCGTGAGGCCAACGAACTGGCAGTCGGCCGCCCAGGTGCTCTCTCTGTTCTCCGTGCCGTTCAGAGGCGACGGGGACCGCTGCCGGGGCGCCCCGACATAGCCGCTATCCCCACGTCCTCCTCTGTCACCCCCGCGATTGCCACGGCCCACAGCCCCATCGCGGTTCGTCTGCAATTCCAAAACAACCATGTTGTTAAGCGTCAAACACAAATCCTCGATTCCCGTCGAAAGATCGGCAAACCAATCCGTGAAACGCACGTCCAATTGTTCAAATCGGTAGTCGATCTGTTGAAACCGATCGTTGAAGGTTGCGTCACGTCGTTCGTCTGCGGCATCTTCTCGTCCCGGCGACATCGCGAAATCGTACTGACTGCTGATACCAACTGATGTAGAGAAAGCGTACGAATGGGAAAGATAAACGAACGAGATTCTCTCTCGATAAAACTCACAATCTCATTTTTCATTCAATAATCAACTGATCGTCACACTGCATAAGAACTCTTTAAATAAATCCCTCAAACTAAACCTAACTTATTCTCTAAGCTAATAATAATAATAATAATAATAATAATAATAATAATAATAATAATAATAATATTTATATTTATTCTGCATCAAAAAGGTAATCTGAAGTTGAAGTAGCTCCCGTGTTTAATTCTGTTCCTAAGAAGCTTCAACGACCGAGCCCTCACCTGCATTTCATGCTAATGGTACTTTTTTTGCTTTTCTCTCTCTCAGAATTGAGGAATTGTTTCTCTTTTACGAATTAGTGCTAGCGCAGCAGGGGCTAATGGTTGAAGAATGGCAGAAGCTGAAATTGATCACAATTTCTGCAGCAGTACCATATTGTGATAAAACATATATCAAGTTTATGTTAACCTTGTATTTTTTTTNTGTTAACCTTGTATTTTTTTTTTCATTGTTCATTTTCCAGTATGTAGAATATGTGTTCGATGTTTTTTTCCAAATTTTTTAGCTGGAGGGAGTATGTGTGTGTTGTTTTTTTATTTTTCAGCTCGGTAGGGCGTGGGCCAGTGGAGAAGTTGCACGGGGGCTTGGAAATCGAACATAATTGTTTGTTATTCTTGATCCCTGAAATGTTCTGTTGTGAAATTGCAGGAAATGGAAGGGCTTATGGTCTGAAAACAACTGCTTGACGGGTGAAAATGGCAAAATCCTGGCCGCATTTCCCATCTCAAGATGTGTTATCCTCGAAGCAGGCAGTGGTCAGATCAAACAAATGGGAGCTGAAGCTGCGGCGAATCAAAGCTCAGGCAGTTCATCCCACAATGGTTTGAACAATGCAGTAGGTGTACCAGCTCACCCAAATAGCAGAAGGCTAATGGCGAAAATGTATAGACTTAATCAGATATTGGATTATCTTGATTTGGAAAATCATATCTACTCAGAAGCATTCTGGAAAGCAGGCCTGGTACCAAACCAACCCAAATTTTGTATTTTGCTTGGGAAAAAGTTTCCTGAACGCCACAGCAAGTTGCAGCTTGAACGGGTAGCTCTTTTGGAACTTTTGATGATTTTTTTTGTTCCCTTTGAACTGGGTCTTAGTATCATTGTTCCATGGACGGCTGTGACAGGTGGATAAGTTTGCATTGGACATTATGAACGATAGTGCTAAGGTATATTTGCAGAGCTTGGAGCCATGGATTCAGGTGAGACGTTAATATTATTGGCTTGTATTTATAGTCTGCATCGGTGCTTTAACACAAGCATCATAACGATATAAATCTAATGGTATGACTTTGCCAGATGGGTGATGAATCTTGTCCGTGTTAGGCAGTTAGCCTTGCTTTTCGTTTGCCCCTTGTATATTCTGTGAATATAATGACATTTGATTCCATTGTCTGTATCAGCTGCTTCTTGACTTGATGGCATTCTGAGAACAATATCTGCCCCTCATCTCCGACTCGACCAGCAGTTCAGTGAGCATGAGCGACTGCTCGTCCAAGCCTCGCACGAGCTTGGTTTTCTCACAGCCTGGGTGTGTCGGGAGAGGGTTTGTGGGCTACCTCGGGAATAAGGTTAGTCGTTTTATCATGTTTGATTAGAAATTGTTTCTTTTAAGTATTCTGGTTTCCTTGGTATTATTTACAGCAAAACGAAGTACTAAAATGAAGATCTTTTTTCTTGTTGTTATTTTCAGGGATCCATTTCGATAAGCATGCTAATACATTAGACGAGTCTTTGCTTTGTGTGCCGTCACTTAACATCTGGTCAGAAGGAAGGTGGCGAACTACGAAGGAGTGCTGATTTTATCAAGATACTGAGAATGGCAGCAATAGTGAGAAATCTCTGGCGACAAACTCAAACACTCGATTCTATGGGGTAGCTTTCATATTTCTACAAATGGGTAAGAATGTTTTTTCTTATGCATGAGAAAAATGTACCCAGAATCAAGCATCCTGGGATTCTTATTGTAGTCATGGAAGGGGTTTTCCTTTGTTACCTTACTAGATGCTTCTGTGTTGATAATATTTGGGTGTAGTCGAATTCTTTGGCTTGGAGATTTGAATTACCAAATAGTGTTGCACTACCGCTTGGCCAAAGCACTCATTGGAATGCAAAACTGGAGACAATTACTCAAAAAAGATGAAGTACGGCGATCTTGCTATTTGACCTAATATTGCAACTTTTTTTTTGTTCTCTAAAGTCTAAACTTCGAAACTAAAAGAAAAATTCATTCTTTATTTTTTATTGTGAACAGCTGCAGATCAAGCAGAGGCATGGTCGAGTTTTTGATGGATGGAAAGAAAGGAAGATCTCTTTGCCCATTCACCGAGAAGGTATTAATTATTTTTCTTCACAACTTAATATCCCTGTCTATTGTCTATTTTTTCTTTCTCATATCGTTTGAACAGATGTAGATCTAGATATTTATGCTTTGGCCGCTGACTTCACACGATATGACTTGTTATTATTACATGCAACCCATTATTTTCTTGCTAACTAATTATATTTCATTTTGGAGTCTTTAACTCTGTTTTAAGATTAATGAAACGCCACAAGGCAGTCTCGAAGTCCTGCACCAGCAGTCGTGTGTTCTAGTTGGCAGCCAGTTTTAAGCTTTTTGTTTCACAAACCCCCAAGTTTATTTGGAGCTGACATTCAAAAAGTGAAGTAGTCAGATGGTCAGAATTATGATTCTGCTCTTTGCCCTCTTTTTCTTTTGCCAAAAACTTTTTTCCTGGTTTTCTCACAATCATTCTATTTGTCTTTTTTCTTCTTCTTCTCTTTCTCTTCATATTCAGAGTGGTGCATGATTTTTTTTTTCTTCTTCTTCTTCTCTCTCTCTCTCTCTTCATATTCGGAGTGGTGCATGATTTTTTTTTTCTTCTTCTTCTTCTCTCTCTCTCTCTCTTCATATTCGGAGTGGTGCATGACATTATTTGTTAGGAAATATATCGGATCAAGATTAATAAGAACTCAAGACTATGAANTCTCTTCATATTCAGAGTGGTGCATGACATTATTCTGTACAAGTTTTGCGCAGGCTTCGTGCTCCTCTACCAGACTTCGATAACAAGAACTCCAAAAAACATCAAGACAGGAAAATCCAATTCCAGCCATCTCTTCCCCACGAATCACGGTACTTGTTTTATGGTATTTACCTTTCCATGTTAGCCGCTAGAGTTTCCTCCTCTCCCGCCCATTATCATACACAGGACCAAACCACCCACGGGCAGCTTTCACGCGCTCAGGCCAGGTAGCTTTTCCTGTCAAAGGCCCCCAACTCATGAATCTTTTAACCCCAGTCAGTAGCTGGCACTCGGTTTAACCCTCTGGTGTTGGCTTTTTTGCCTCACAGTAGTTCTTTATTTATATTATAGTAGTATACAATGAACTCATGGGCTTGCTTTCACTCATTCGGGCCCGGTAGCTGTTTCTGCCAAAGGCATCCAGACCACTTGTCAGATGTACCCAGTCAGTACTTCGCACTCTAAACCTGGCGGTAGCTATTTCCACATGTTAGGCCATCCTCTGTGCACTTCTAATAAGCAGGTTCGGATTCTACTCACACAAGCTTTTAGTTCATTTATGATAATCGTGTTTAGATAGGATGGGAATTATCTGCATGAGATTCGTAGGAAAGAGAACAGCTAAGTCATATCATTCCATGTTCGACGTTTTCGAAGAAAAAGTTACGACGTCTGAGTGTTTTAGAGTCACTGAGGCATGTGCATTCCATATTCAGATGATGTCATGTGTTCATTAGTCTTTTGCATTAGACATTGGAGAATTATTGTTTGTTTGTTGTCTTTTAGCTTGCTTGAAAACCTTTCTTCTTCATTTTAAATGTTTGCTGACCAGTTCGAAAAGGTGGAAACCAGTGAAAACCGGTAAAAAAACCCGTTCAAACCAGTCAGTTTGTTTTTTTACTTTGTTTATAGTTTTTGTTTAGGTCTAATATTTTAAAGAAGAAAGGATATTTTTGTGTTTTACTTTCTTTCTATTTTTCTAGCCGACCCCACTTAGTGGGATTTTAACGGTTGTTGTTATTGATTTTCTATTATTTTTTTAACCTATGTTAATACATTAAATTAAATTGAATATGTAAAATTATTATGTCAATTAACTTGCAATAAGCATTGTTTAGATTATTTAAATATTTAAGATATTTGATTATGAGGACAGTAAAAAGTTATTTGAAGCATTCCATGTTACAGCTTTGAGGACAAAGCTATTATTTGTTAATTTAGTCTTAATAACTTTTGTGTCTAACTTAATGGATGGGCTTAATATTTTATTTATTTAATTAAAGAGTCAAGTAAAAATTGTAAACATCAGACAGACTAAAAAAGGATGGAAAGTAAATAATAAGAAGGTAAAAACGTAGATGAGAAAGCATGAGAAGAAAGTGAACTTTCTAAATAGTAGTATAATTTGTAGGGAAATATATGCACTGCTTTAAATCTGCATTTTTCTAGAAAATATGAGTGTGATAACAAAGAGATGTTTGCATTCAGTCTCTAACTCGAACTAGTTTTCCCAATCAACAGAAGCTAATAATCCCACAATCATACCAATCCTAACCCTCATTCAACCAAATGTCAATTACATAAATGTCAATTTTTTAGAAAACCACAACGCATATATGTTTTGAAAAATAAAAAATGGTTTCAGAAATGTCAATTTTTTTAGAAAACCACAACGCATATATGTTTTGAAAAAATAAAAAATAGTTTCAGAAATGTCAATTTTTTTTAGAAAACCACAACGTATATTTGTTTTGTAAAATAAAAAATCGTTTCATAAATGTCACTTTAATAAAATTGTAATCAGTCTCGACATCTCTACCCCTAACCTCCTGCTTTCATCTCAAACTCTCAATCCTCCACACAATGCTTATAAGAATAGCGCCTGCCATTCTTT